CTCAATGCACCATACTTCATCACTTCAAGCCGACCCATCGAGGTTACTGATCTCCATCCATTGTTCAAGTTCATTAAGCTATGAAAACGGGAGGTTTCGAAGCTTAATCGTATCCAGTTCACTCATCTCGTTCGTTGGTACAGGTAGCGTCTTTTGTGCTGATTGCGAACACAGTTGACAAGCGCACATTCTCGATGTTGCACACCTTACTCAGGCTGGGAAAGTGAGTGTTTTATGAGTTCTCACGATGGCATAGTCAGCATCAGGCAAGCATTCCGGATCTACCGACAATCTGATGAATTTGCACCATGGCGAGGTGGGGAGTTCAGGACAATTTATTGCTTGGTGAAAGCCATGTAACCCGATGCGAGCGCTTTTGATATAAGGCGATGTGCGTGATATGAGTTACAACCGGTGCACACCTTAAGAAGATGACCGTCACCGACAGTCAGGTATCCACCCCGAAACGTTCTTGATAGGCGACCGAGTTTTCATTCGTGTCATCTGCAGTGACGATTATATCCGTCCTGTCGACCACTGGTCTTCCTATACACAGCTACCGATGGTTTCCGGGCCAGCCTGTATGAGCGTACTATGATACTTACTAATCCCGATGATGCTTCCTGTCGAATTGCGTGCATGTGGTTGTTCACTGATCCACGCCGGAGGGTCAATATCCGAAAGCCTACGGAGAGGGGCTCTAACATCGCAGATGTCGCAACCGATGAGATCTGTAGCACCGGGTGCAGGAAGTACGTGAGCATGTTATTTTAACCCAAATCCAATAAGTGTAGATCAAAGTGATATATGTTATCCTTTGACAGCTTGAAATATGCTTGGAACCGATGGACAACTCAGAAAAATTTGAAACAATCGTTTGGTACTTTTTCGGCTGGTAACGTTTCGCTTTTGACACTAAAGCCCCGTCAGCCCGATTGAACTGGTACGTACTTGATGTAGCATTTTTTCAAACTAGAAGGACACTCCCGACGAACGAGTGATGTGTTACAGATTACTCACTGTTACTGATCAACGTGTCTTCACAATGTTGCATCAGGAATAGAAGAGTCTCAAATGGCCTACATTACCAGGTCACCGTACATAAATCCTTGTCAGTGACACTGGAGTGAGATGTGTTTGATGTTCGCTCTCCAACCAGAATCCGTCCACCGACGCTGTTCAGCTTGGCTCACCACGCATTGGACTGCTTTTCCTCTTCGACTCTTCACTTAACTGTTTGCTCTGGCGATTATCCTCGCGTCCGCAAGTAACCCTTGGAGTATTGCTCGCAATCCTCTTCTAATGATCTCGACGTTGTACAATTCGGTTTCATGTACCGTAACTAATTACTTCGGCTTGGGCAACCTTTGACGAAACCATGGACTTTAATGTGTTGTGTTGTCTTTTCTTTTACAAGTTCTGCACATTCTTTTGTGTTCCATGATTTCTGATGGCTCTGTCTATTCATAGACCGTTGCAAAATATATACCCTAACTAATACTTGCACCGCTACCGCTGAATCTCTTGGTAGATCCATGCATTCGGGTCCGTTTCTGGGCGACTGTGACATGTGACTCTTGTGTTCTCCGGTTCTATTACACAACTCTCGCGGTTTGATCCATGTATACGTTAGCAGTCTAGACCTAATCTAATAGACGCAATTGGTAGTTCTATTTGCGGGATACGAGTCCTTCAAATGCTCCCGTTTCGTACGGAGCGTTTGACCGTTATGAAATCACCCTCATTCCCTTTTTGTTTAACATCCTTCGGATGAGGAATTCTTACTGTCCTATTTCACTTCATGGCACGTTGCAGTAGACTTAACCCTCTCTACTGCTGTCGCCTCATTGACCGCTGGGATATCCACTATGTAACCGTTTGCTCATATAACACCCCTGCTTTGAGTGACCTGAAGTGTGTTGCTTTATCTTTCAGTTGACAATGTCTAGTTATTTTTAGGTTTCCTCTATTTCGGTGAAATAAGTAGTCGAGGAATAGCAATGTATTACTCTAATATTCCAACTCTATGGTTAAACATTATAGGCACAGCAATGGAGTTCAAATGATTAACTAACTCATTTTCTGTTTTATGATAACATTAGTGTCGTCAGCGTACCGCCACCCAATTTTCATTGACCCACTCTAATTTGTCAGTGCTTTCCTTTTGAGAGGCTCCATATACAAATTTGCCATTACAAGGGATACTTGCGATCCCCTAACCCTGTTTCTGTGTGTATGGTCTCCATTAGGATGTGAGCTAAGACATGTCAAGGCACACTGCTGTACCTTCAATTAACTGCCACACTGTCAGCTTCGTTCACTCTCCCAAATTATTGTCCTCCGTTAATTAGCGCTTTGCTTTCTCCAGCGAGTCATCCTGTCTTTTGTGTGCGTGTTTCGGGGACGTAGCAGGAGTCGACTTAAAGGGTAGTAGTAGGGCAGTAGCGATTATCCCCTGTTGCCCTCTCTGCTCCAGTTCAGTGACGTGTCTTTCCCGATATTAAATTAACCCCTATCTTATAAAAACAAAAAAACTTGGTGAGGGGATGCTTTAAATGAATTAAAATATAAGTTAAACAATTTTGTACCACAGAGTTTTGTGTGGGGTCAATACCTTCCATTTGCGTCTTCCGAAAGAGACGGTTTTATTCCTCCTTTTCCACTTTTGTTCTTTGGCTCAATAATCTTACTCAAAGTGTCATGGGGATCAGGTGCATCTAGAGAATATGCGTATACGTTCCCATCGGGACCTGTGTGCGATCGGTGTCATGCAGTCTTGTGAGTTTTTAAACCAGATACGCATGTTTAACTTAAAAACATGTTACAACAGTCGGCTGCTTGTGTGTTTCGGTGGATTTTCGTGCTTTTGATCGCTAGATGCCTGTCTTGAGGGTTGTGTCAGCATACCAATAAGAACGAATAAGACTCTCACCAACCGAAACAACCCGTGGTAATCGACTGCTGTACGACAATCGAGTTGAATTTGGACTTCTTCCCTCCTGTATCCAATTACCAGCTTTTAGAACATGGCTAAGGAAACCGTTGCTTCCCATGCGGGAATTATCTAAACTTAGTTTGTCCATACAGCATAGTTAGACTAACTGTCCAGTGAAGTCAGAAGGAGCTTTATGCCCCGCGGCTGCGAATGTAATGAAGCGTTACACTGATCCGAAATTGCTCCCAGAAAAAAAAATTAAAATAAGCGTGCACATCACTTAAATAAACGTTCACACGTGGTACTGTTGTTTCTTGGAGTCCCCCGGGAAAACGGGATAAATACGGTAAGATATGGTTATGGTAAGATATTGTGGGAGAAAACAAAACCTTACCTCCCTTTTTCCTAATCACTCATTCATTCTAGACCATGGTTTTATCAGCCTACGTTTTCATAACTTTGATCCATATTTCTTACTGATTGAAGAGGTTAATCGAAAAGAATGCCTTTCGCGCAACTGTGAATTGACTTCATGGGAATAATTTACGAATTGTCTCTACAACTTGCCTTGTCTGAACTCGGCACTTCTGTAGCTAAAACATCTAACCGACGTGTCGTGGTGGCGTACATACTACCACACCAGATCGATCCCATTCTCATGAACGCGTGACGCAATCTCGTCGATGTAAAGGGATGAAACCAGTTTTTTCACTCGGAATCCGCCTTTTCACCTCGTCACATTCGACGCCGTGCCGTCCAAACAAAGGCGAACACAAATGAGTATCCTTTAGGATCTATGTCACTACTGCGCTTACAACTGTGATGGTCCTTAGTACGTGGCATATTGCTGTCCTGAATTACCAGCTGCAGTTGTTCCAAATACATGAAGCATTGGTCTTCCGAATGGTTCTATAGTTATGCCTTTTCAAGCTAAGTGGTGTAACCGCAATTGCGTCATCGTCTTTCCGTCATTGTCTTTTCACTATCTCACCCCGTCTTCTGTCGGTCGCTATCGTTTTTTCATCGCTCAGCATCGATTTGCGCCCACCTACGCAACTACGACAAGCATGTGATTTATTCTATGTATTATTTATTTCCGTCTGGGAAGGGTTGCACATGCTTTCGGTTGACATGGCAGTGTGAGCACTGACAACTTCGTCTGCTTTTCAGTTGGCACAGGTAGCCGATCTCCTTTTTTCTGATGGCATCCGACTCGCTCGCAACCGTATCGGAATCCAGTCACTCTGATTTGTCGTACTTACTGACGTCTATCGAAACGATATCATGTCTCATGTTGAGTTCACAGATTGTTTAACGGTCTGCAGTTAATTCCAATCGTAATTTCTGGTTTTCCCTTTCGTTGTCAATGATGGTCATTGGTGCCGCTGAAGTTTTGTACCTCACATTTTGTCTCCTAACTCGGTATCCCATTTCACTACCTGTAACTCCTTTGTTTTCACAACTATTAGGGGGGAGGAAGGGCTAATTCATCTATCACAAGTTCTGCTGCCACTCCATGGAATGGGAGTGTAATTTAATGAATGCAATCTCAATTTGAAATTGATTTTGTGCCTGTTGGTTGTGGACGTTGCTGTGCTCCAGGTCTTGTTTGAAGTGAAAAGTTTTTAGCACAATTTTACAGCTATGTGTCACTCACCGGTTCTAAACCACATTCACATTCTTAGGTGTGCAGTGCACGTTTGAACGACCTCTCACCCTCACTAATTGAAAATTCCCCGGGTTTCTTTTCGAACTTTTTCGAACTTTCGCTTTATCTCATCACATTCTGACTCCTCTGACCATTCACGTGAAGCTATTTTAGTCACAGTCTGCTCTGCATCCAACTTTATTATGGGTTTTGCAACTGGCCGCGCCTAGACGATGTCTATACACCGATTGCACTTTTGCGGAGTCCCACCGCAAAGTGTCTGGGAACATCCCACTATGCACGTCACGCTCGCCTTTCCTTCAGATGTATGTGTTAGTGCACACATTCACCTAATTTGGTATCTTTGTCCCTTTTCTTATATTTGCGGGGAATAAGCACTTATACTTTTCTTTTCAGTGTTTGTTGGCGAATCTTGTCAGATAAACACCGAGGTGATGCGGATTGAGAAGAGATTTGTGACCGTCTCTTTCGAAGCCGTTGCACTGGAGCGTGAAGCTGTAAGCCGTTTCATTTCGTTGTGCTTCCCTAGAAAAGCTGATGCATTCGTGCCCCTTTCTCTTTTCTGCAGGGTTTATGTCTTTTCGTGGTCGTCTCACACAGATATCACTTTGTCTGGCTTGGCTTATTGTTCATCTGGGTAGTTTTGGGTCGGCGCGGTTTAGTTGTTACTCCCCAACGGGATCATTTGATTTCCGATATGTCGGATTCACTATCGTTTCATCCTACCTATTTTTGTCCACTTGCTCGTACTTTTGGGTGAGAAGCACCCGATTGAGACAATCTTATTATCGTTAGCTAAAAATTATTCTTATAACCTCGGCTTAGGGATACTGCATTTAGGCAGTACTTTGCCCAATGTTGGAAGATGTGCATTTAAATTCTCCCGATTGAATACACTATCCCGAGTGATCGCTCAGCATTTGCAACTGAGTGTATCGTACGATACGTAACTAAAACGAATTCTACGGGCTATTAGATCCAATCTCTGCATAGGCTGAACGAAAAACGTCAAGGTAGAAAAACTATGGTGTTCTCCTGTAACCCTGGTTCTAGGAAGCAAAATTCTATACAAAATATGACTCAAAAATGGATTAGCAGCATTCAGCAACAGGCGAAAACGACGAAGCGCAGTTATCGATACACCACTAAAGGTTAAACTGTGTGACTTTGACATAAAGTGTGAGTTAATGAGCCTAAGACATGCAAATCAGTTTATTATATGGGTTTGTGGTGCCGAGTGTATCCTGCTCCTGGGGGAAAATAAAATTTCACCCCCTTTTATAGTATAGTTAGTAGATTTTGGGAACTCTCTTACGATACACCATCGTAGATGCCCCGCGATGTGCAACCAAGACTTTGCTATCTTTTTTTACAATTCACTTTAACCTCTGGGGAGTTGATGTTCAGTTCTTTCAGTTCTCGCCATTACTCCCCCAAATTGCTTGTCTCCTTTCCGTATGAAATGTTTAGCATTATCCACTACACACTGATCGATAGCGGTTCCTGGTATTTATATTTGTACTGATTTATTAAAATGTCTTAACGGAATATCGGCTTTAAATGTCACGCTCACGGTTGCAATGCTTACCTCCTGTATCCACGCATGGTCACCTCGTATTAGCCCTTCTATTTCATCCACCTGATCGACTTCCGAGTTCGCTTCATCCTTCGGCTGTTCGTGATGTAGTACAGCTGCTTTTCCCTTAACCACTTCGGTACATTGAGGCATGCTTCCGAACTTCCGTCCACTTGACTTACACGGGCTTCCATCTCATTTTCTATGATGTCTTCACTTGACCTAGCCCGCGTGTCGCCCTGTCCGCCATCCCGGTTCTGATTCTTGGATCTCGCGATAGTACTAAAGCTTACTGCCAGCTTTGTTTGGTGTTAGTCTTTGTTCACCCGAGTTCATCGTCGTTGTGTGTAATATTTTATGATTGTTCCTCCTTACGCAATTTACTGGAGCCAGCGTTGTCCCGTTCGGTTACATCGCTGTTATTCATCTTCTTCATTCCAGTCCATCATAAAGGGGCAGACGAAAGTGGTGTTCACCAAGGATCAGCTATCCCTCGAGCCTCCAAAAGGTGTGATTCAATTCTAGTATTTTACTACCCTAATCGGATTGTCTTGTACCACTACCGCAGATGCTTCCCGGTCTTCCCTTGCACAATTTCCTTTTGGTTAATTCAGTAGTCGACTAGCATTTGGCTACTATCTCAACTTAATCAACGCTAAATACACTTTTCTTATACTTTGCTGTGCTTCCAACTTGGTCCAGAACGTTTTCCTTTAATTCTTGCTCTCACAACAGTTACTCTCAATGTAAATTGGGCCCTCGGATCACTCTATGTCGTAAACGCTGGCTTTATGTGAATGTACTCCAGGCACGGACTCAGCTTACGAGCTTGTAGTATTTAACCAATTCTGTTCATGATAATCAATCACATAAAGCATATATTTGTTGATATCCTGGTATTCAAGTCACACATTAACCTAGACAGTCCAGTCTCTTTTTTGACGCACGTGGAAGATAATTGAGAGGTTGTTGGCTAATGCCATCTTCGCAAACGTACAATCGCGCGCCTACCCATCTTCCCACAAATGCGCAACATGTGTGTGTGAGGCCCCATGCTGAGTACGTGAGTCAAGCCTGACAACCATGGCTAAAACGCGATCTAATTGCACTGGAGACCCCACGGCGAAGGACAACCAAAAATATGAGTGACTTGTTCCCTTTCTTATACTAACTACAGCTAAAAGCCGTACGAGTGTACAACGCAAGTTATCGCTTCCTACGATGTGACCTTATTTCTTTGAAAATTCATAGCCACGCTTGCCACAACAAGCTGAAACTAGTCAAATACTACTGGCTGCAATGCCACGGAAAGTTTTCCCCTCCAGATTTGTCAGCTGTGGAATTATCTTCCGACTGACTGACGTCATCTCTGCGTTAACGTCATCCACTTTTTAAAAGCAACTCGATGATGCATTGCACCATCTACATTACGTGATGTTATTCTGCCCATTGTGCGACGACAAGACGCAGATAAACAATGTGCTCACTAACTCCAGGCAATGGGATCTAGTTGTGTGTAACGTGGATATTATAACTGGTCCAAATATTTTCTCCCTGGATCTAAGTACTTCACACCGATCTTCCTACGGGGTTTGTGCAGCCTGAGCTTTTTACCAGTATTATGCGACTGTTCCCTTGCAAGCACCTTCTGTATCATGTTTTTTGACGCAATTCACCGACACCTATCACTACCGCGCTCGTTCATTGACCTGAGTTTACGTTCAGTCGGGGTTCTGTGTGGCCTTATGAAGATCGGTGAATATTATGATAGGAGGGAGCCAATTAGAAAATCTCATTGTCTGTTTGCCACACAACAATTAATTTATATGTCATTGAACTGAACATAGTGACGATGTTTCTACCGCGGTTTCAGTCCATTTCACTTCGGCATGAGAGTTCAGTGAATCCAGCTGTTATGATTTTAAGCAAAAAGGGCAATATGCAGGAGAGCAAGCGAGCTAAAGTATACAAAACGTTTGGCGCTGAGGAAGTCAAAAGTTGCAATTGTCAAATGCAGCTGTTAGCTCCAAAAATCGATATGCCGCGTAGTAACGATGCACAGCACAGACGGAGACATCTTTGTAAAGCCAGACCAATCCGTGATTTGCCTTATGGTCGCCACCTGAAGTGATGCACACGCCGATGTAATAAGAGTTTTCGGTCAAATTTTCCTCCTCGGCTGGAAACTCTTCGAATTCATCTATGTTCATCAACAGCAAATAATGCATGATGTCGTCTCAGGTCGGCAAAAACACCAGTAATCTGACCTGGCTAAAATGGACAGTACAACCTCGCCAGATGATCCAGTGAGATACCACAGAATTCGATACAGAACATCAACTGGTAGTCGTCAGTGCTCAATTTCACCCGATCGTCAAATAGCCTCAACATACTGTGAATATACCTCCAATCCACATATCATGCCTTGGTGGGCGTGTCTCGCACTACGAAGAATAGACGTTTATTTACTTATTTGTTTATACTTACTATGACTTGGTTACACACTCAGTCCTATGCCAGTGAGCTGTCTCCATAGGTCACTAAATATCGGAACACACCCGAACCATGTAGATGCCGACGGTACACCCTTCGATGGTTTATTTGTTGGAACGAGAACGGAGCTAAACTTGATGCGATGGTTTGTGTGTCTCACCTATCTTCTGGGCTCTACTTGGGGGTGACTTGAGATACTTTGATTTTCTCTAAAGCTGGTTTATGATTGATGGCATGGTGTGGACATTTCGCTTACGAATATTTAGCTGTAACATTTAGATTTCATGTTAAGTTCTTGTATTATTTTTCGTTAGCCATGGCCTCATGGTTAGTTGGGAGAGGAGAATTACACGAGATACTAAGGGACAACTGTTTTGGTTTACTATTTGATGTTGCCACTACATAGTTATGTGGACCATTGGTGGTCTTCACCACTTATTGTGCCAGCGCAATGTGGTCAATAGTATATTGCGGAGAAAAAAATCCGAAGCTTGACACGTCGCGTCGGATCATCGGTTGCACTGCATTTTCAAAATGAAGGCATATTTAAGCGGGAAGTACTTGGTGGAAAATAGGCGGTTTGAATTGCCCGAAATCTCGCCGCAAAGGCCTCCCGATTTGGGTCCCTTTCTTCCATGCTATTTTGGACTGCGCCGAGCATCCAAGATCTTCCTGGACCAGCAGACCGTGATCCTTTTTTAGCAAGCAGTGTTGCAGATCTTGGGCCCTCAGCTTATATGTGTGAACCATTCGGTGTCGTGAATGGGGCACTCGACATTTAGCCACATTGAAGAATAGGGGATTTAAGACCGACCATCCATAAATCTTGTCAAGTTCATTTTGAAGCTGGAAACTGCTTTCTGGAGCTCTGCTTACTCGCCAAACTTTGATGTCATCGGGTTAGAGTAAACAGTTTGACTTACTCACTCATTTATGATGACTAAGACTAGACGGGGCCCCAGTACCCAACCCTGTGGCACACTGCATTCGACGTGAATTGATTATGACATGGATTCACATCTGTGCGATAGAAAATTGCAGATGCACCTGAGGAGAGTGTCCCCAATCCCACATCTTTGAAGTTTGGCGAGAAGGATACGATGGTCCAACAGGTCGAACACCTTAGTGAAATTAAGGTAAGCCACATCAACTCCTGCACCAGCATCCACCGTTTTGGTCCATGTGTCTCATGCTAAAAATAAGTTGGTTGTGCATAACTAATTCTGGCGGAAGCCATGTTGCTGCTGAGCAATGTGACCAAAGCCGTCCAGATAGGACATGAGTGTGCCGGCAATGATAGCCTCCATAACTTTTGAAGGAACTGGCAGTAGATTCAGTGGTCGATAACTAACTGGGTCAGAACGACTGCCCCTTTTGGAAATGGGAGTTATTATTCCGTGTTCACATTGCAGGAACGCACTTCTCATCACGTGTTCTGGCATAGCCGAGTTAAAGGTTCGGCCAAAACGTTAGCCGCCACAACAATCGTCTTTGAGCGGATGTCATCAATTCCTGGACAAGCTTGCAGGCGCGTGGATAGCAGCTTTCTCATCACGTAAAGTTTATATGATTGAATCCCGGTGGAAGCACCATAGTTTCTAATAATTCGTGAGACCACGGGATGCATGAGTGCTTGGTGCATATTGTTGTTGCAGAACGTTCGAGGTTTCTTTAGCAGTCCGGGTTAGACCATCCGCTTTTCAAATATGGGGAAATCCACAGTTTCACTTTGTGAAGGCTGTTCACCTGCTTGTACAGAAGCTTAGCGTTTGAAGTACATCGCTCGGCTAAGGCATGTTGATAAGCTACTTTGTCTTCGCACGCTAAGTGAGTACAGTGGTTATGGTGGACAACGTAGACCTTCCAGGTACCCGAACTCGAATGGTTTTGGTGGGTATACCACGCCGCGTTGCGCATCACCATGCATTTGCGTTTCCGACTTCGTGTAAACGACGCCATGTTTTTCGAACTGCTAATCTTGATTTCCGATGCTCCACCAATCACGGTGTTAAACTTACTGACGAAAGGTTCCCAGGCAGTATCCGGTGCATCCTCGGTTGGAAAACCAGTCGGTCGCTTCAACGAGTCGGGTTAAGGTGTCGTAACTGGTTATTGTTCCAGTCGGTTGAGTGCTGTCCTCGGGATATTCAGAATAGCAAGTGTACATGAAATGCAAAGTCACATGATCACTGCGGCCTAGAGGGGTAACGATTATCACTAGATCATCAGTTCTTCAGTAGTGAATATCCGGTCCAATATGGATGGCCTGTTATTTCCCTTGAATCTGCTGGGCGAAATGACGTGGCCATGAAGCGATAAGTCTGAGACAAAATCTTGCAGGTCCGCTTTAAATTGCTCTCCTGGTGTTGCCTAGGATTCTAGAGCATGTAAGTTAAAATCGCCGGCGACTAAAACGTGAAAGTACTTACTGTTTATCATCTGCCTCAACGCAGCCACCAAGTTGCAGTCCATCTCAGGTGTAGAAGATGGTGGGCGGTAAACAACAGCCACTAGGCCAAGGTCTTTCTCTCTTTGTCGTAAGGTGTACCAAATGGAGTCGGGTACACCGGTTTCCGAGTCGTTTATAGGTCCGCACTGCAGGTTGTTACGAAAGTAGAAGGCTACCCCACCACCTTTGCTGTCTCGATCATTCCGAACAACGGACATATTTGTTAGTACGATTTTGGTATCCGTCACCGCACTGCACAGCCATGTTTCCATGATAGCGCTGAGGTCCCAAGCTACTGATGTGTGTGGAAGTCTTAATTCAGCTACTTTGCAGAATAGACCTTGGGCATTTGTATACATTCATGAGAGCTTCTCAGAGACCAGAAGTGTGTTGGATGAAGCAAATGAGTTCGGTATATATTCAAGTATCAGACGCCCCGGATCCCGGTGGTCGCTCTTATTTTGCTTTATCCCTTCGGGTGTTATAATTGCTGCTGAAACCATCACCGAGTCGGGTTCTACAGTTGGTGTTTTCCTTGAGATTTGCCCCCCCCCCAATGGGTTGTCCTTAGAAGGTGGTGGTG